AGCGATTCGTGTTGCTCTTTCAAGGGTGACCGTCTCTAAGTCTCACCATAGGAGTTACAGTCGTAGTTGTTGGTGTCTGTTTGGTGTCTGTTTTATTTTTTATCTCATTGATGTAATGATCCTGAAGCTTATGATATGAATAGAGGTTAGTTTCGTTCAAAAAAAATACAGAATGCGTAGCTAGAATAAGAAAATAATAATATTAATTATCTATTCAAAAATAATGGGGAGCATTCTCAAAAAGTTGTGGAGCATTTGACAACACTCTCACTAAGATAAGTAAAGTGATGCATTGAAAAGGGATCCTTGTAATATTGGAGAGTTATATGTTCTTTCTACACATGTATCAAGTAATAGATGCTTAGAAAAGTCTCATCAGTTATAAAAATATTTATATTAGCAATTTAACTATTACAGAAAACCTCTAAGAGTAGTGGGAGCTTGTTGATATAATCGATAGATAGTGCAATCTTATAAATTAATTTACTCATATTAGTGAAAAAGATTTTACCTCACACATATAATTAAATACAAAAAAAACTAATATTTTTTATGATATTTATATATTCAATTAGTCAATTTAGACAAAATATTATCTGTCAAAATATTATCAATCACTTTCAATTCAAGATTACGAAGCATTTCACCAGTTTTAACATTTTAAGCCGTTGAATCATTACCAGATAGCTTTAAACATGATTAAGTAACATTTGTACAAGTAGGATAAAGACTTTTATTAAATTAAGATAATAAAAATGATCCGTTCAAAAAAAACATGATAATTACCTTTTTCATTTTTCAAAAACTGAGCAGTCTAGTCTCTCGTCCACTCAATTACGTCCACTCATTTTTACAAAGCTTTTGTTCTAATTAAATTTTATAGAAATTTCATTTAATAAGAGTACAATTTTTCAAATTTTAAAATAAGAGCATTATAATTTAGGCTAAAGGGTCAAATAGGCCTTCGAACTAACTTAAAAAGTGCAATCCACCCCTTATATAGGAGGCTCTGTCTGGACGTCGCCAATGGGGCGGTTCCCGATCGAATTTTTTGATGAAATTTTTTGAGCATCTTCTTCATTAAGTCTAGTTTACTCATACCAAATTTTAGATAAAAATTCAACCGAGAAGACAGTCAAATGATTTTCTGAAATGTACTGCGTTGTTTAACTGTGCTGTTATCTTTAAAAATTCATTTGACTGCCTTCCCGATTGAAGTTTTAGCTAAAATTTGGTATGAGTAAACTAGACTTGATGAATACAATGCTAAAAAAAATTCATCAAAAAGTTCCACCGGGAACCGTCCAAATTGGCGACGGCCGGATAAAGCCTCCTCTATAAGGGGTGAATTACACCTTTTAAGTTAGTTTGAGGGTCTATTTGACCCTTTAGCCTATTTTCAAAATTGGAGTGATTAGTGTTACTAGTATATTAGAATATACTACCGCTTTATATTTAAAATCTGATGATAATGTTAAAATACGAAAATACATAATATTTCTATTTTAAAATTTTACACTTGATTCTATTTTAGAAAATTTTCCAATTTTATCTTTTAAGTAATTATATATAAATATAATTTTATAAAAAATATATGGGGGTTTTCAAAAATATTATTAAAATAAAACATATTGACATAAATATGACTAATAGTTACTACAATGTATTGTCATGGTAACTTTAGTTTAAAATTGAACATAAGTTACTATTTTTCTATTATTACTACTCTGATCTAGTCACTAGTCACATTTTTGTAAGAGTTTTTTATTTTATTCATAAATATGTAATTATTTCAAAATTTATTTGTAATCTTCTATAAAAACTTTTTATGAATGCATAATTTTAACATGAAACTGTAATCTATCTGAATTATAAAAATCTCTATCCTTGTTCAACAAGATTTTTTCAATCAGTATACCGTGCAACCGGTGCATGGTGAGCACCATGCTCACATGGTTATATGAAATGTAACTCGTGTGATTCCACATGTAATTTCAAGTTAATCATAATGTAAATTGCACTCATTCACATGTAACTCGTTGAAATGTAAACTGCTTTTATTGAAATGTAACTTGGGGAACAAATTAGATGTAACTTGGGATATGTAACTTTAGGCTATTGAAATGTAAAACGTTTTTACAGAGATGTAACTTCATATCTATCTATCTATATATATAAATGAATATTTATATATATTCATTTAAATATATCGGGGCATGGTCTGGAGCTGCGATTGGGTACGGCAGTTGGGGGGTTGTGGTGGTGTGATGCGGCAATTGCAGGGGTTGCACAGGGGGGTGTGGTTGTGGGATGGTGTTGGGTAACAATTCTGTAGGCGGATGGGCGAAGGGCTGGGGGCTGTGAAGGTTTGGCGCGGCCAGACGACGGTGGCAGGTGGCAGGGGGCGGGAAGAGTGTTGTTGGTTTAGGCGCACATAGTTGGGGAGGGGGTACGACCGCGATACTGTGTCGTTTTGCGACCGGGCACACCATCCTCTGGGTGCGCCGGTCGCGGGATATAATTTGCGAGATTTTTTTAACTTATACATACGAGTATATGCTAGCAAGAATTATAATAATCCTAATAATCATAATCATTATATAATAGTATATAATGTCGGTTTAGTCTGGTCTGCATTAATTTAATTTAGATCTAGGACTAAGCTAAATTCTACAGGACATAATATTAATCTAATTATATATGTTTATTACATAAGAACTGCGGAATAGGAAAGTAATATTTTGATACAAATAAAGCTACTCCTTCCGTCCTATTTATATTGTTCCGTTTTACCTTTTCGGGAAGTCCCACTTAAATTGTCTCATACCTTATTTGGCAAAGTTTGTGTGGTTCTAAATTATTCTTACTTTATTCTTACTTTATTCTTACTTTATCAATTAATATCAACCACATACTAACCGTGTCACTCTCTTACGGGACAATATAAATGAGACGGAGGTAGTAATTTTTAAGTACGCACTAGCTAGAATAAGCAAGTCCAAACATACTCGTCACTCATGAGTCACCATCACTGTAATAAAGGAGAAAAAGACAATTCACTTTTTCCCCTAAAAGACTTCATATTGGTTAAATAAATGTGTTAGGCCATAATGCATCAATAGTAGCGAAATATGACGCAAATTATATCGCAGAGCCAGCTATACGGTGCACACGGTACAACAAGACTTTTAGTTCACAGAACGGAGTCGCTAGCTTTCATTGCAGATCTTCACAGTTCGTTCGATCGCACTTCGCACTTCATTCGTTGCTCGCCCTTCGCTCGCCGCCGTACACAGATGATGATTCGTCACTCGCAATCCTTCGGCACAAACATAGCACCTCAAATTCCTGCTTGCGCAAAGATTGCGGCTCCATTGGGTGTATAGGGCTAGTTGCCTCTCCTTCATCTCTCTTTCTTTGCACTCTTTTCCTTTTTCTGTTTTTCATATGGAGGTTTGGGCACTTGTTGGCCGCAGGTTAGGAGAAATGTAAGTTATAGGTGGCTTTGCATATATGAACATACACAAATACAATTCTAAGCATAGTAGACATTTTAAATGAGCTTTTTGATTTTTTTCAATGCTCATTTCATAATTTATGTATTCTCATTTGATATTGGTGTATTACTCATTTTAAAATATCATATTCATACATATTTTAAAAGTATAATATTACATTAAATTCGAATATTGAATTCATACGAGTTCATTGTAGATTTTTAAAAAATAAGAAAAAGAAAGTGAATTATAAGATATGATGCACATATCAAAATGCTCATCATTAGACTCTCATTACTCAGCAGAATTTATCTAACGCTCTTTTAGCGGAAGTCGTGAATTTCACCTAAATTACCAAAATGTCATCGGCTATGCGGTGCAAGCCGTACGGCCGACTGTGCGGTGCAAGGCTATACGGTATACATACTGAAGATATGAGGTCATCACTATTATTACCGAAACTTTTGTTTCAATAATGTGTTTATTTGAACTAGATTTTTATGTAACGATAATGATGAAATGAAATGCTTTAGGAAATTTTCAGAAAATGACAATTATCATTGTTATAGAAATTGCTCAATAAAGATCAAAACATATACGAAATTCAATAATAGGGTTAATCAATTAACTATGTTTTATCCTCCAAATAAGGCTTATTAATTTCTATTGAAAAATAAGCTCGGTTAAAATTTTCCTACATAAGAGTGAAAAAGTCTTATTTTGAGAATAATATGTCATTGCACATTTTTAATCACATCAATTGGATTGTTATCACGTTTATCCATGTATGAACATACTCCGTATTTAATAGAGAAAATTACCCCCGTATGACCAAAACTCGTATGTTTTACCATAATATGATTCCCAAGTTTTTTTTCCCAATTTGTGTTTTGAGTCAACCAATTCGTACGACCAGAGTAGGTTTTTTATTTTGTTTTCCTTTGCTGCCCTCACACGTCGGTTATTATGCTATGTGATTAATAGACTCCGGCTGATCATTTGCTTCCCAAATAACCGCTACACATTAAATGATTAGTCCGTTAAAATAGGTAAGTAGATAATATTGATCGGGAAAAAATCTGCAATATTCTCTATCACGTCTCTGTACCTCTCGCACCACATCGACGCCGGTATTCATGGTCTCACGCAACACATCCTTCAAGCTTTCTCTTATAGTATTCTAACTTCATGGAAGTTGTCTGCGTTTCACACCAACCACCAAACATACACGTGTTGACGAAGGTAGATGGAGAATGGGATAGTGACCTTCATTTTCATAGTTTATGTTCCATTCCCATTGATATTCCGTTGTCCTGCTCATTTCACGATTTCTGCAACATTTTAAACGCTTCATTGGGTTTGAAATACACGGATGAACATGTTAGGATTTCATATGTCTTTGAAGCATGCCCTCCCCCTGTTATTATCAATGATGATGCGAGCTTGATGTTTTATTTGCAAATGAAGTTCATCCAGTCAGACGTGAATAAACTTCCTCTGTGCATTGAGAATCTGCAACGACAGAAAGGTATCAGTTTAATTGTATGTCCTGTGTCTTTGTTTTATTCATTTGTGTTCATGAATTCCTTGCATAAATGTGAAGTATGTTTTACCATAACATTTTTTATTTTAAATTGATGAAGGAACTGTGACTGTTTTTTCAAACAATTGTACAAATGCTGTCTGTGATGATTCACATTTGAAAGTTATCAAAGAAAGTGAACATGTAGGCGGACCAAATGACACAACAACCTGTGCGGGTGATTTCGTAGTTCACGATTACAGCATTGAATGCAGTGACGTAAGCCCTATGTCGTTGGAAGATGATGTGTTTGATGATGACTCGCCAAGCTCATTTGATGTTCCTCTCCCGTCCTTTGTGTCCCACTATGACCCCACTCGTCTAGCTGTCGATGCCATTTATACAAGCAAGAAGCATTTGGATTTTACTTTGAAGATGTTTGCAATCACAAATTTTTTCCAATATAGAACATTATCATCATCTCCGAAGGTGTTGCATGTTATTTGCGTGGATCCAGATTGCAAATGGGCTGCCCGTGCTGTCCGTGTTGATGAAAGTGGCCTGTTTCAAGTGCGAAGGTTAGCACTACCTTTTTATAACTATGATCTTCACAATTTTTTTCATTGATTGCGTGTTGCTGCCCACACGTTGTATGACTTATACATTTCAATTCTCGTGATTGTTGATAATTTTTCAGATTTGATAATACGCACACATGTTCAATCGATGTTAGACAAGCTAATAGTCGTCAAGCATCCGCAGCTCTTATTGCCGAACTGATCAAACACGAATACGATGATGTTGCTAAAAAGGTTTACACACCTCAAACAATTATGGCAGATATGCAAAGAATTCATGGAATCATGATGTCTTATAAAAAAGCATGGCATGCGAGGGAAATTGCAATTCGATTGGCTCGGGGATCAGAAAAGGAATCTTATAATAGGCTGCCATCTTTGTGCCATATGCTGGACCAAGCAAATCCAGGTTCTATTGTTACACATTCTTCCAATTCAAATGGAGAATTTGAGTATTTTTTTATGTCTCTTGCGCCATGGAGGAATGGATGGGAACATTGCATCCCAGTAATTGTTGTTGATGGTTCTTTTATGAAGTCATATTATAAGGGGACACTACTAACAGCATGCACTCAAGATGCGAATAAGCAAATTTTTCCACTTGCATTTGCCATTTGTAGTGTTGAGAATACGGTGAACTGGACATGGTTTTTTAATATGTTAAAAAAGTCCCTTAAACATAGGGAAGACTTATATGTTGTGTCAGATCGCCACGAAGGAATCTTAAATGCCGTGCATTCCGTCTTTCCTCATGCGGAACATGGTTTTTGTGTTTACCATATTTTAGGCAACATAAAATCCAAATTTCGTGGGTCTGCACGTTTGGTTTCTTGGAAATTTTTACAGGCAGCCCGGGCGGGTTCGGTGTATGAATGTGAAGAGTACCTATCCATGCTTGATTGTGATGACCCGCGTATTCGAGAGTACTTGGAGCGAATCGGTAATGACAAGTGGTCTCGTGCATATGCCAGCCGCAATAGATATTCAGTCATGATGTCCAATAATGCGGAGTCCTTGAATGCTGTTGTTGTCACTGCTCGTGAGTATCCAATTTGCAAGTTGATTGAATTTATTGTCGGCACAATGCAGAAATGGTTTTGTGATCGTAGAGAAGCAGCGGCAGCCAATCAATCTCGCCTTTCTTGCCATTTTGAATCCCAGTTGCTACTGTCTCAAGCTAATGCAGCGATAATGCAGGTCATTCAATGCACTAATAATTGGGATTACAATTTGTAGTTTTTTTATTTACTTTTTCCCACTTTTTTTTGGCAGTCCTAACACTTTGTTTACAGGTTAGGCCATCATGCAATTTTGAGTTTGAGGTTTTTGACAGAAAAGGAAGATCATATGTTGTCAACTTAAGAGCAGGAACTTGTACTTGTCGTGAATTCCAGCTAGATGGCTTCATATGTGTTCACGCTGTCGCTGCAATACGATCTCGCCCTGGTCTTTCTTGCTACGACTATATTCCTCAATACTACACTAATCATAAATGGCAACAAGCTTACGAAGGCATTATTCATCCGATTGGTAGCCCTGACGGTTGGGTGGTTCCTCGTCACATATCTCCAACCATTTGTAACCCTCCTTCATGTTCCAAGCGTCCCCCTGGAAGACCAAAGAAGCGACGAATACCATCCATTGGTGAACATGTGAGGAAACAAAAGTGCACTCGTTGCTTGACGGTCGGTCACAACAAAAAGACCTGCAGAAACCCCATTCCACGTTCATAATTTTTCGTTTTTTATATGGGTTTTACTTTATAATGTCATTGAGGATAGTAATTTTTTTCTCTTATGTTTGTCTGACATTTAAGTATTTTTTTTGTTTAAAACCTTTGGAAGCACCATTGTAGTATAACCTTCTTTTAATGCTATGATTTCATGCTAATGTATCCATAATTTTTCGTATCATTATTTCAAATGATGAATTACATTGTGCCTGCATATTTTTGTTTACGCTTTCCATACGAACGTTTTCCTTGTTTCTTGAGTGATGTTATTACAGATTTCTGGGCTTTAAAAATTAAAGCAAAAAAAATACCGATTAAGGCAATACACGTTTGCATTAATCATCAGTATTTAATATTAACATTACAGGCATTTCACAAAAAATTTCTTCTACTTTGATTGTGTGGAGGATGTAAAAAACACATTCTATATGGCATTAGTTGATCCAAACTATTACCTAGTCTAATTAACGACATTAAAATGTTTTTTAACATGCATGTGCGTGTATGACACAAAGCCACAAATCACATTTCCAAAAAATAAAACCTTAAATACCACTCATCTAACCCATAAATTAACCTTACTATAAAATCCATTCACAATAGCATTCAAAGTACAAAATACCACACATCTAACACATAATTCAACCTTACGATAAAATCCATTCACCAAATAATTCAAAATACTAAACATAATGTACCTCAAACCATCAAAGTTAATTTGCGCAAAACAACCTAAGAAGTTCTTCCCAGACCCAAACAACCCATCACGATATTTCAAATACTCTCAAAGAGGTCAATCCACCCCATACAACTGAGCCAGTCCAAAGTACTTAAACAGGTCTACCACCATTTTCTTCCGATAATTCCATTTCTCACTCCATTTCACTTCGGTTGCAGCTCTTCCACGCATTAAATATTCCCTATTTAATAACACGAGGAGTTTTGAAGTGTTTATTGAGATTTTCTTAATAAGAGCGGAGGTATATATAAATAAAACAACAATTTGAATTGCTCGCAACCTCTATCTATGAAATGTGGAGTCGTCCACCCCAGATGCCTGCACATTCAAACCAATAAAATGGAGTAAATCATGTCATAAACTTAAGTATTTAAAATAAATTGTATTGATCATACCTCAATAAGAATGAGTACTCATTCAAACCACTAGTGCATGACAAAATAAGTTACATTTGTCAAAGAAAATAAGTTAAATAAAAGATACAGTTCATTTTTTTTAAAAGATACAGTTTATAATCTATACACCGCTTAACTCCCTTAAGTCAGAGCTGCAAATGCCCACATTCAACATGAACTATGCTTGTCTTTAAAGATTTTGATGCTCTAGACAACAACTAAATAAAAGGTTCCTTTTTTCCCTAATAATACTGTCTCTAAGTTCATGAGTAATACGTAGTATAGTTTTAATTTGCATACAATAACTCTAAATATATTTATAATTTCATTAATGCCGACTACACGCACGCTACTTTGATTTTTATTCTCATTGTCATCATTTAGAATGTTTTCTTTTGGATTGTTTTCAGTCTCAGACCAGACCAAATTAGACCAGATCAGACCAGACCAGACCAGACTTCCGTAGTTATAAAATACACAGAGACCAGACGTTTACCAGACCAGACCAGACTAGTTCAGACCAGACCAGACCAGATCAGACCAGACCAACAAATTTCAGTCCAAAATAAAACATCCTTACATTGTATTTTCATTTTAATCATTTACTTCAAAGTCTCTATGTGATGTTTATAGACAAAGTTTTGGATTTACTCATCTATCTATACTAAAACAACAATAACAACAAAAATAACATTATCTCAGTGTCGCAAAGACTCTCATCTATTGTGTGGGTTAAGGAGAGTTGGATGTACGCAGCCTTAGCCTTATAATAATGCACATAGAGACTGTTTTTGAATGACCCATGATGAAAATCACGTCCAAGATTGCATGGACTAACTGATGCTTCCTAACAAAAACGAAGACAATTTAGTGAGTCATTTTGTTCTATTCCATCAGTCATTTGACTGCCTTCCCGGTTGAAATTTTAGCTGAAATTTGGTATGAGTAAACTAGACTTAATGAGTAAGATGCTAAAAAAATTCATCAAAAAATTCCACCGGGAACCGTCCCAAATGGCGACGGCCGGACAGAGCCTCATATAAAAGGGGTGATTTGCACTTTTTATGTAAGTTCGAGGGCTTATTTGCTAGTTCTTTTAAGAATATATTTTGATGAACGTTAAATCTATTGAATACTTTTTAAAATGTTGCCCCTCTATTCCTATGGGTGCACTAGGCCTATGCCTAGGTTCCAAGGCCCTATAGCCGACTCGAACCAGCTACCATCATCACCCATGATTCACCATCATCACTATCGGTAGCAATTCTCGGTGTACATAAAACGTGTACCCTTTTTGTACACTTGTTTGTGTACACAGACATTGACTGATTTTTTCTAAACGAGTGCCAGCGTATACAGGCAACTAGACGAGTGTACACAAAAATTATATACTTTTTGTGTACATTTGGTTTTTTCAAGTGAAACCCATCTCACATCACTTCCATAGATTAAAAAAATAAAAAATAAACCTTAGGAGACGGAGCAACCAAAATACCGAGGTATTTTAATCGATAAGGACTCTCATTCAAAAGCACTTAGTAGGATAATTTTAGTAGTCATATACTTAACTCATGGAACGATTGTCTCCCATATCATTTTAATCGATAAGGCCTCTCATTCAAAAGCACTTAGTAGGATAATTTTAGTAGTCATAGACTTAACTCATGGAACGATTGTCTCTCATATCATTTTTCTGGTCTGATATGAATCTTTCTTATTTGTTTCAAATTCTTCTTTTCAATTTAAATATATACATTTAGTGTTATTATTTGTGTATTATAATATCCATACAAATCATTGCTGCTTATTATTATTACTGTACACATTGAAAATGTGTCTCTCATATCATTTTTCTGGTCTGATATGAATCTTTCTTATTTGTTCCAAAATCTTCTTTTCAATTTAAGTATATACATTAAGTGTTATTATTTGTGTATTATAATATCCATACAAATCATTACTGCTTATTATTATCACTATACACATTGAAAATGTGTAACTATAAGAAAATGTGACAAACTCGTATTTGAATAACAAATACTCTAATAACTAATCTGCTTTATATGTTAGAATTAGAATAGATAATAAGCAATAACTGGACAACACATGACTCAACTCTCTTATCGCTTAGGACAACAAATTTGTTGATTTTGAAGGACAAACTAATGAATTTTCACTATAATTCACTTCATAACCGGTTTCTATTTAAAATTATAATTCTCAAATAAGAAGAAGAGCTTCGTTCACTTTCCCTCGAATTCCCCTCCTATGACTAACCTTCAATCTCTTCTCTTTACCTCCAAACTCCCAAACATACTCAAATTCCAGTTTTAATACTTAGTAATGATTAATGGGTCCTTGATCCGGTTTTTAGCTGCTCACACCCGACCTGGCCTGATTCCTTTTTTAAGATTTTCATTCATGATGGTGTGCACTTGTGCTGCCTTTATTGAAGAGGGAGAGACAGTAAAAATACAAAAAGAAAATGGCGTTAACAATGGAATCAAATCACAAGTTTGACTGGACTGAGATCGTGAGAACATGAGTGCGACAGAAATCGCACACCCACCTTCGTTAGCTGAATGTGAAAGCAAAGACTCCAAAAAGCCAAAACAAAGCTGCGTTCTCTGTTCTTTTTACCCCTCTTTTGTCCTCTTGCTTTTTCTGTTGCTCTGAGACATTCTCTAGTCTGGTCTGTGGGAAGTACTAATCCATTCATGTGAGATTGCCCAAGTACGATCTTTCACCCCTCCTGACTCAATCTCAGGCTCACCAACGTCCTGTCTCGCCCCATCATATAGACCTTTCCTGGTCGTCTTCGCCGTACCCTTTGATCAACTGCACGTACTTCCCTCAACAACATACATTTCATATCATGAACAGCCGCCACTGCTGTTATGTTGTTTGGTTATAATCTTCAATTCCTCCACGTAATTCATGCCGCCCCCTTGGATCAATTCTTGAATTTTCTTCTTCAAACGTTTTCTGTGATGGGGGTTCTTTACTCCTTTTTATTCTTTACCATCACTGATGAAAGTTGTTGTTTTTTTGCTTTCTGGGTTACTACTTGACAGGTTGATTTCCTTGTAAATATCTTGAAATTTCCCAAGAAAGATGAAGATTTTGACTGTGGAGGTGATACTAGATGTGCTGCTGCTGCTGTTTCTGAAATGTAGCTTTGCAGTGGGAGATGAACAGGTGATGAAGCTGTTGAACTTCATGAAGTCGTCAGTTGAGAATGATCCAAACGGGTTCCTGAAAGACTGGGGTTCTTCTTCTTCAAGCCCCTGCAAGTGGAATGGCGTGGTTTGCTTTCCTGCCCATGAAGGTCAAGTCACAGACCTCAATCTTCAAAATGCAAACCTCCATGGCTTTCTCCACATCTACCATCTCATGGCTCTCCCTTCTCTCCGGAATCTTCGGTTGAGTGGCAACCGTTTCTACGGAAATCTTTCATTCCCCACAGATTCTTCTTCTTGCAGCAGTAGCTTTGAGTCTCTTGATCTATCATCTAACAACTTCTCAGACTCTCTGGATTTAGGTCCCTTGTTGTCTGCCTGCAATCGCCTCTCATATCTGAACCTTTCCCAGAACTCGATCCCTCATCTGGTGCTCAAGCCATCTCCCTCGGTTCTCCAGGTTGATGCCTCCAAGAACAAGATTTCGAATTTAGACCTTCTAGATTACTCTCTGTCCGACTGCCAGAACTTGAGCCTGCTCAATTTGTCTGAAAACAAGCTGAGTGGTAATCTGATGAAAAGCTCCCTTTTTTCTTGCAACAACCTAGGACTTCTTGATCTGTCGCACAACAATGTCTCAGGAGATTTCAATGATGTCGAATTCGGGGCTTGTGGCAATCTGGCTGTACTAGACTTGTCATTCAACAGCCTCTCAGGTTCTGATTTCCCCGCCAGTCTGGGGAATTGCCAGAATCTGGAGAAACTCCTTATCGGGCATAACTTGATTCAACTGAAGATTCCAGGGGGGTTGTTATCAAAGCTGAAGCGTTTGAGAAATTTGGGATTGGCCCATAACAGTTTTTCCGGGGAGATTCCGTCGGAGCTGGGGGGAATTTGTACCACTCTCGAGGATCTTGATCTTTCCGGGAACCAGTTATCCGGTGAGCTTCCGTCCACGTTCAGAGCGTGCTCCTCCACGCTCACCTCTCTCAACCTTAGCAGTAATCATCTCTCCGGCGACTTCTTGAGCAGCGTCGTTAGCCGGCTTGGGAATCTCAGACGCCTCTCGGTTTCTTTCAATAACTTGACCGGTCCGGTTCCGAAGTCTTTGGAAAACTGTCCCCACCTCGAGGTGCTCGATCTTAGCTCGAACCGGTTCGACGGCGGCGTGCCGTCCTGGTTATGCTCACCGGTTTCTGCCCTGCAGACGATGACGCTGGCAAACAACCAACTTTCCGGGTCAGTCCCACCGCAACTCGGGTTCTGTAAGAACCTAATGAAAATCGATTTCAGCTTCAACCGCCTGAGCGGTTCGATCCCGTTGGAAATCTGGAACCTTCCGAATCTGTCGGATCTGATCATGTGGGCGAACTCCATCACCGGTGAGATTCCTGAAGGCATTTGCAGCTCCAGATATGGAGGAGGAGGGAAACTCGAAACCCTAATCCTCAACCACAATTTCATCTCCGGACCGATCCCGAAGTCAATTTCGAAGTGCACCCAGCTGGTTTGGGTTTCTCTGTCAAGCAACCGGCTGACGGGCGAGATTCCCCCGCAAATCGGCGAGCTCTCGAAGCTCGCGATACTCCAGCTCGGGAATAACTCTCTGTCGGGCGCGGTTCCTCCTGGGCTAGGCAGGTGTAAGAACCTGATATGGCTGGATTTGAATAGCAATGACTTAACGGGTCCGGTTCCTGCCGAACTTGCCGATCAGGCCGGGCTTATCGTCCCCGGCGGTGTGTCGGGAAAGCATTTCGCTTTCGTGAGGAACGAGGGTGGGCCTGTGTGCAGAGGCGCAGGTGGTCTGGTTTACTTCGACGGAATCCGGGAAGAGATTCTAGAAAACTTCCCCGTCTTCCATTCCTGCCCGTCGATTAGGGTTTACTCTGGCACCACAATCTACACATTTTCCAGCAATGGGAGCATGATTTACCTCGACCTCTCCTACAATACGCTGTCTGGAACCATTCCTCCCAGCTTTGGTTCAATGAGTTATCTGCAGGTGTTAAATTTGGGCCACAATGATTTAACCGGAACCATTCCTTTCAGCTTCGGCGGTCTTAAGAGAACTGGCGTGCTTGACGTCTCTCACAACCGTCTTCACGGCCGAATCCCAGGGTCACTCGGAGCGCTCTCATTTCTCAATGATCTCGATCTTTCCAACAACAACCTCTCCGGGGAGATTCCTTCCAGCGGGCAGCTGATCACATTCCCTGCTGCTCGATACGAAAACAACTCTGACCTATGTGGTTTACCCTTACGCCCCTGTGGTGCATCTGATTCATCGTCAAGTGCACAATACAACCAGCAACAAGATAGGAAGAAGCGGGCAACCACTATATGGATGGTCGCCGGGTTTACAGCATCTTTTATTGCATTGTGTGGACTACTCGTTGCACTCTTGAGAGTGAGGAAAGGTCAGGAGAAGAAGGCAGAAGAGAGGAGGGATAAGTACATTGAGACCCTTTCGACTTCAGGAAGCAGTACTTGGAAGCTCTGCAGCGTACCTGAGCCACTCAGCATTAATGTGGCCACCTTTGAGAAACCTTTGAGGAAATTGACCTTTGCACATCTTCTGGAAGCGACCAACGGGTTTAGCACATCGTCATTGATTGGTTCAGGTGGGTTCGGGGAGGTCTACAAGGCGCATTTGAAGGATGGTTCAGTCGTGGCGATCAAGAAGCTCATCCACGTGACTGGCCAAGGTGACCGCGAGTTCATGGCAGAAATGGAAACGATCGGGAAAATTAAACACCGAAACCTCGTACCGCTCTTGGGGTATTGCAAGATCGGAGAGGAGAGGCTTCTTGTATATGAGTACATGAAATGGGGGAGCTTAGAAGACGTTCTTCATGAGACTCGAGACAAAGCGTGGCTCAACTGGGCAGCCCGGAAGAAGATCGCAGTCGGATCTGCTAGAGGGCTAGCATTTCTTCACCATAGCTGTCTCCCGCATATAATTCACCGTGATATGAAATCTAGCAACGTCCTCCTGGATGAAAACTTGGAGGCCCGGGTGTCAGATTTCGGAATGGCCCGCTTGGTGAACGCGCTGGATACTCATCTTAGTGTGAGCACACTTGCGGGCACACCCGGATACGTCCCACCAGAATATTACCACAGTTTTCGGTGTACAACTAAAGGTGATGTCTATAGCTATGGTGTCATACTTCTTGAGCTTCTCTCGGGTAAGAGGCCCATAAACACTCGAGATTTCGGAGATGACAACAACCTGGTGGGCTGGGCTAAGCTGCTGCACAAGGGCAATAGAAGTCATGAGATATTTGATCCCCAACTCATGAGTGATTTGTCTGGTGAATGCGATCAGCTCTATCAGTATCTTGAGATTGCGCTCGAATGCCTAGAGGAGAAGCCATATCAAAGGCCAACCATGATACAAGTTATGGCCATGTTTAAAGCATCATCTTCGCATGATGATTCAGAGAGTGATATTCTTGATGACGTCTCAGTCTTGATCGATGAGTCACCCGAAGGTGAACCATAATCTGCCATGGTTCACCGGCTATGAGCTTTGATCTGTTGCAGATTCTTGCCCAGTGGATGGCTCAAAATGTCGATCAGATCATAGAACTAGTTTTTTTCCCTTTTGGCTGTTGGCCTGTTAATCTGTTATATGTAATTTGTAAATATTAGGTGATATGTTCTCAGATGAAAGTCATAAGGCTTGCTTTGCAAAAGTATTCTGAGTTGAGTTAATTTTTCATGTGAGTCAATTTTGATTGGTTATTCCGGTGTAATGTTGGGACCCCTTTTTTTAGAAAAATAAGAGAGAACATCTCAAATATTCAATTTAACTTCATTAGTTGCAGACGGCTTTGTCCTAATGCAAACATTAAAAAGACATTTGAAGTATAACGTTTAAAACGCAAAGTGAAGTTGGTGCTTTTGGTTGGTTGAATTGTAATTGTAATTGACCACTTTCAATTTGACTGTTCTTTAAGCATTATGTTCATCTTAGAAATGGCCGTATGTCATACACTACGTAATACTTCGTACTTCGTATGTTGATATTCCTTTGTTACTTCCATTTGTTTTTTGAAGTTCTCTTGACAAGAAAAAGATTTTGCTTAATCAATATCCTTGATAACAAAAATTAAAGCAGAGGTTTGCAATGATTAGTTTTGATTTGCCTTTGCTTCTTTGATAACAAAAATAAAGCAAAGGTTTGTAGGGAAATTTTATGGAGCCATGTGACTCCACTATAGTCATATAACACATGTGACATCATCATAATCATTCACTCATGAAGTATGATCCTCCACCATTAACTCATTATAAAAATAAATGGTTGATATGAGCTCACATGAACTATATGCAGCGGCGGTAGCAGAGGTGACAGTACAAAAATATATATACAAATATATATACATTTAAAATTTCAGGGTAAATATACTTAATTTTTTTTGGAGGGGCAGCAGCCCCCCTTTGTCACCCCCCTGTGTCCGCAACTAACTATATGACTCTATAGGGAGTCATATAGGGCTCCATAATTTTTTTGATTGTAATGATTTATACGGAGTATTTATTTGCTCACCTTGCTTCTTTTAGGTTGTTTTATATTCCGTATATTTTCCAATTTACAGATGTCTTTGCATTCCAATTTAATTTTAAATAAAGAAATTGTTGTACAAAAAAGTAAACCGTTTTATACTGCATTATGACTCATTTAACCATAATAAAGGAATAAATATAGTAAGAATATAAAAAATCTAAATTGAGAAAACATAATATTCCCCTGTCCCTATTTAAAAGTCACACTTTCCTTTTTGGGTTTCCTAAAAAAGTCCGATTCCCTTATTTGGTAAGCAAAACAATGTCAAACAATACCAAATAATGTCAAAACAGTGTTAAATAGTGTCTTTTTCTTAGATTATGTGTAAAAGAAAGTGAAACTTTTTAATATGGACGGGGAAGTAATTTTTAGGCTATTTTAGATATATATTTATTCAAATTCTTATATGAATATTTTTTTAATAAAATTACAGAATATACGTTTAATGTTTTCCATATGTCTTTTTAAAAGTTGGATGATCATTACAAAAAGCTAAGTAAATACTCCGTAAGTGAATTCGTCCAATCACGCAAGGTAATTTTTTAGAAAAAGTTAAAAAGTAGTTCAATTCCAAAAGAAGAGTGAACACTGAACACCATCTTTGTCTCTTAGGGCAATTAAAAAAACGGACTTCATGAGTACGCTCAGTAGGACATAACTGTTCTTGAATTTTTTATCTTTGTCTATTTTGGATCCTAATATATATTCCCCTTACTTATACGGAGTATTAATTATATAATCAAGCAACATGATATTCAATTGGTTCTTTAATTATTTTATTCTCAAACGTTGATTAGCATCTTGCTGTCCTGCATGCGGTTTCGCACTTCGAGGAAGACAACTAATGAAGCCACAGTTTTGTTTTTTCCCAAATGCGTTACATTATTAGCCACCTCTTTCAACATATCCATGCTCCAATGTTGCTTTCACGGGTAATAATTAAGAGCATGACTTTTTCCTTTTCAAACTTCTCAGCCAACTTTTTCATCAAACACGTAACTTTTTATTTCACGTGCTGAATTACGTGAAAATAAGAAAAAGTAAGGTTGAAGTTACTTTTGATTTCACGCGCTGAATCACGGGAGAAACAGTCAATGCAGACGATTTAGGTGTTACCAAACGGGCCCTAATTTATTAATACAAGACTGATTTCATTTGGTAAAGTTAGCTTGAATTGCGGGTGTTGCAATTCTCAACTAGTTAGGATAAACTAATACTACCTCCGTCTCATTTTATGTGTCTCCTTTGGTTTTGACACAATTTTTAATAAAATGGTTGAAAAGGTAAAAGTTGTGGTTGAGATTTGAGTATAAAAAGGTGAAATGTTGTGAACCACATACTTCGTATTTCTTTCCAAAAAGGGAAATGTGACACTTATTTTGGGATAACCCAAAAAGGAAAGTAGGACATGTAAAAAGGGACGGATGGAGTAACTTTGTATATGTATAATCCATTTTCTCATTTCAGTAGGTCTAACCACAATGGATGCTTTCAACCGTTGTTTAGAAATGGAAAAGATTCCAAAATATGAACATTAGGGGAGCTAGCAGCATGAGAAGGCAAGCGCCCTCCTTTGGGTCAAAACAAATTAGTACACTATTTTTATTATAATGTTCCTCCTTTTTGAAGTAAAAAAAAAGTGTTTAAAGTAAGTAATACTACTTTGTACTTTCAAGTGAGAGGTCTTTGATTTGATTAGATAGTACTTCAAGTGTTCATAATCAATCAATCTCCAATATTTGAAATGCGGGTGCATCGAATAAAAATGTTGTTAAAGATGATCGAGAGTAATAATATTGATATGGACAAAGAGCCAAACGAAAATACACGTGAGTGGATATTATTTGTGATCTAGCATTACAAAAATCAAACATTGAATAAGCGTCTGAAGATAGAGATGATGTGAGAAGAGAATATGTTGCTATAGGTGCTTGTCAACTTTTGTCTCATAATTTTCCACGAACATCATTTGACACTTTTTTGTTACATGTGTTCATGAGTTTAATTGAGTGTTTTTTGAGTTCGGGGTTTAATGGACTTTTTTAGTATAGTATGGGGGCTTATTTGACACTTTTCCCTTTGAAAAGTTATTAAAGTGTTATCTAGGAGAGTGATTTAAAAATTGGAAATAATTGAAATACAGTGTTTCTAAGAAAATTGTTTTTTTGCTTTTGTGTTACCTTTTTCATGGGGAAGAAGGAAAGAGATTTGACGATGATGTGTTTGTGATGACTTGATTCTACAATTGGAAGAATGCTTCTCATAAATATAGAGAGCATGTGGAAATTGTAGGCAAGAAATTGATGACACAATTATGCAAGAACATTTTTTTACTTTCAAAAATCAAGACAAAATTTTTCAAGAAATGTGTCTTCGGGAATATAAGTATTGGGTGCAGCATACCGCACTCATTTGAATGCAAGTGTAGATTGTGCTAGATTTTTAATTGTATTAGGGTTGATCTTTGTGATCATAATAAGAGACAAAGCTCATTGAATAGAAGACATTTTTTGAATCGCTAGATTGATATAGTGCACATAATGTTGATGTGATATAAGTGGTGAAAGATGATGCACCACCAAAGCTATCCCATCTTACGGAGTTATACTCATGAGATTTTCAACTGTTGAGCAAGTGGAGCTTAAAAATCAAATTCAAATTTGGATGTGAGATGAGAGAAGATGAAGCATTTTCAACCTTGTAAAATTTTGGTGAAGTTTCTAAAAAGATGATTGAGCTTAGAATTTACAAATATTTTCACTCGTTATATCATCTCATTGAGTTGATTTTAGTGTTATTAGTTGTAATAGTCACATTTGAGAGAACTTTATCTGCAATGAATATTATCAAGATAGATCTTTACAATAGGACAAGTGATGACTTTCTTACAGATTGCTTAGTTTGCTATATCGGAAATGATATTTTTCAAAAAACAAATGATAATGAAGTTATTATGCAGTATTTTCAGCATATTACAATTCATAGGGCTGATTTACATATTTTGATGTATTACGCTTTTGTTGTTATTTATTATATTTTGATAAAGTATGCGCAATAATTTGTAATTTTGTATGCCTCTTTGATAAACCTCTGGTACTGCCAGCATATGAGTGATGGAAATGATTGACAATTAAACACATATATGCCGCCACTAATTAGGGTGCGCAAAATATGTTACCACACTAGACCAGTCGGTTTAGAAATCTTGGCATAATCTGTCTAATATACTAAATTCATACAAAGTATTATGTAATATGTGGATGTCCATTAAATTATTTTATTCATGTGTATTGTAAGGGTCCAATCTTCGTTATATAAGCTATATCCTCATTTCCCCTTGTATATACATCACAAATGAATGAGAAGAGAGCCGGATAATGATAAATTTATCATGCGTTGTCGGCAAAAGATCGACATATCTTCATGTATGAGTCATATAATTTCTTTAAAAAATATTGAAGTGCTATTTATTTTAATGACATGTGATCTTTATCTAATGTAATGGTGATATAATAATTAAATTTTAAATATCTATGGGTTGTGGCATAAGTCTAATGATATTCAAGTTTTAGTGAGTCTACAGATAAGTAACAGAAACTCAAATTCCAAGGATCACTAAATATTGAAAGCTTAAATTATTTCTCAAAATAAGTTGCGCTCATAAATAGTAATACTAAAATCTCAGGCAATCACTAGAAGCTTTAGAAAATGTCATCGTAATGTCAATCACAACATCATGAATTAAGCACTATTAATAGTTACTTTGACTCATCAACTATCAAAAGTCAAGTAAAAAATTCAATTGATAGTAGTGATGTGTTTGTTGTAGACCCGAACCGAAATAGGGAAAACCAAAATCGAACAGAAAGATAAAGTTCTCACGCAAAAAAATGAAATCGAAAACTGAAATTTAGAGAGCCGTATTTTCTGTTCGATTTGGGGTAAAAAAATATTTTAGATCAAATTTTAAGTATTTTTTGTTAAAATCAAACTTGCTTAGCCCATAATAAATAGGTCCATCAGATTTGTATGAGTAATAATTAAAATAGTTAGCCCATATATTAATATTGAAGTTGGGGGTGTTTGGAATATATTCTACTTCTGCATCTTACTTAAAAGCAGTGGTAGAATCAGAATCAGTTTTCAGAAGCTAGCCTCCCCCAACTTCGGAGTCTTTGCTCAACCAATCACTCCCAAAGTTTCATGGTGTGGCTCATAAGCTTAATCCCTCGATATTTGACACATTCTTGTACATCACCCTTATTTTTAAATAGAGAAATATATAAGAGTATTTTTTTGCCCATTCACTAGCATTTTGTTGTTTCTCCAA